CATAAAAATGATAAAGATAGGGTCCAGGGGAGCTTAGCATCTCACATATCATTGATTTCATATCTTCTGAACAGCTACAGACATTAGCAAAAGGATCTGGAATGTAATAACCTTTTAAAGTTTGTCATTATAAAAAGACTAGTCAACGTTTTTGTAGGTCCATTAGCAGATATCTCTTAAATTTGTAGTTTAATCCCTTTTTTATCTTCTATGGTCATTGGGTATCGTCTCAAATAAACTGGCCTCGTGTCTCACCAACTCTACTATTACTTGGGGCACATCAATTGCCAGCAATAGGGAAAGCACTGAGGACTCTCCGGTTTGCAAATGGGTCCCCTGGCTGGGTAACTACTGACATTTGCAGGAGCATCTATTAAAAGTTTAACAGGCTTTCTCCTTTTTAAAAATTAATTTTATTGAGAAATAAATAGCAATGAGACAGCTTCAGAACAGATTAGTAGCTGGGGCTAGGGAGATGGCTCAGTAGAATAAATACTTGCCTGGCAAGCACAAGGGCCTGAGTTCAATCCCTGGTTCTGCCAATAAATAAATAAATAAATAAGTAAACAAACCAGGGTTAGTAGGGCAGTTACAAAAATTAATACAGTTCATATTCTTGTCTTCATATATTGTTACCTTCATCCTCCTTATATTGGCAGTTCACATGGGTTCCCTCAGGGCGAGAGGAGAAGACCCATGACCACCTCAATCTGAAACTTCCTCTGACTCTATCATGAGCACTTTTTTTTTCTCTCTCTAGCAACTTTGGACATTCTGTTTGAAATGTCCCTTCTCTGTGGATCCAGAAAAGCAGAACTTTTTCCCGTTTCCCAACTGGCCTTTGTTCCTGTAGGCTGCTAGGATCACTATTTTCATTTCCCGTCTATAATTCCATTTTGTTTCCTTTCTACTCTATGAAACACCTCAACTCGGACAAATTCCTTCCTGCAAACCCTTCTATCAGCATGTGGTACCAGGGATTGAACCCGGGGCTTTGTGCTTCCAGGCAGGCACTTAGACTGCTCAGCTATCTCCGCAGCCCAACCCAGGAACTTTTATTAGAGACACGTGGGCAACTGTGAAGAAACCTCTAAAAAGCACAGAATAAGCATGATAATCATCCAATTGCCCAGACCTCAGAACTCCTGTGAGTCTCTCTGCATCTGCTCTACAGTAAATTCTGCCATGCTCCTCCAAGCTGCCTGAGTCTGGCCTGAATCTTTGTTCCCTGGCACAAAGGACCTGGCTCCAGGCAACGGGTTGTACTAACGCCGTGGGTGTGTGTCTGTAGGGTCAGCAAAGCCAGCCAGCCTCCCTTGGTTAGAATACAAAGTGTCTGCGTGACCACATCAAGCAGGTCTGGCCAGCAGCGTGGTGGTGTGACAGGCAGGGCCTCTGTGATGCCGGAGTGTGGCAGGACACAGCTCACAGGGTCCATGTTGTCTGTGCTCCACAATCCACAAGCTCAAGTCCAAAAAGCTCAAAAAATGGGGAGTACTTCCTGACCACTTGGTTGCCCATACTGGCCTGAAGTGCCCTAAAGCTATTTAAAGTTTTCTTTGTTCTCTTGGTTTGAATTTTCATACATTGTACCATAGAAATTTTACTCTAACTCCAGGTGACTGCTCAGCACTATGACCCCCCCGCCACAGTAAGCAACAGAATCCAGGCTCTCTACCCCTTCCTGAAATCTAGGGATCTAAACTATCAACGCTATAGCAACAGGGTTGTGGGCAAAGGCTGTGGCCCCGCTCATACAGAGCCCTTAACATAGTACCTCCGCCTGGGAGCCAGAGCAGGGGGTGGCGGCACACTCCTGCAGTCTCAGCACTGGGGAGGCTGAGACAGGAGGATTGCCATGAGTTCAAGGCCAGTCTGGGCTACAGAGGGAGACCACCTCAAAACAAAACACACCGCCTTGAGCAAGCCATTAGAGCTGTCACCTGTTGTTAGCAGCTGAGCCACTACGGTAGCAGATAGGCATTCATTTAGGTTTTTGGTGGAGGTAATAATTTGCTTGCAGCTTGGTGTGGTGACGCAGGCCTCACTCCTGTCATTCTAGCACTTGGGAGTCCATGGCACGAGGATTGTTGCAAGTTTGAGACCAGTCTAGGCTACAAAGTGAAGTCAAGGCCAGCAGAAGCTCTCAAAAAGACACACACACACACACACACACACACACACACACACACGCGCGCGCACACACGCACATGCTGGACACAAAGGTGGGAACTGAAAGATGCACATTTATGACCCACCGTGCCGGGCCATCCCGGGCCATCCCGGGCCATCCCTTGATTGCGCCCACCCCCTTCACCACAGTGCCACGGGCCTGCCTCGCCCCCTGCTGGCGCTGACAGCTCCCTGCCGAGGACCCATGGCTGGCCGGCCGGGCTCTCCCCATCCCGCCAAGGTCTGTTCTCAAGTCCTCTGTGATTTGTTCCCTTCTAGCCCTTGTTTCCAAAGCTGCCTCAGGTTCTAGGAAGGACAAGCCCCGGGGAGAGTCTGTTTGGGATTTGGATGGAACTGCCTCTCAGAACCAGCGGGCTGGGCCTAAGGACTGGCCCTCTCTATGTGTTCTGACCCAAGCTCCCTTCCTGCATTACCATGACTGCCCTTGGAGGGGGACAGGGAACTGTGCTTGGGGCCTGGCTGGAGCTTGAGCCCCTGCCCGGGAGCCATAGCCCCTAGCTCTTCCCTTTCAGGCCTGCTGGGTCCCCACTCCATTCTCCAGGCCAGTGCCCGTGCCTGTGCCGCCACCACCCCAAGGCTCCTTGGGCCTTTCCTGTACTGGCCTCTGCCCCTTTCTAACCACCTGTTCTCCTGCACTGGGACCGCAGCTCACTGCCTGTAAAAATTGTTGTCCTGTTTCTGTGACATTACCACACCTGCTGGTGTCTTCCAACTCCTCTGTGACCTCCACAGGGCCCAGCTGGTGAGGACAGGCCTGGGATACTGGCCTGGGGCTCCCTCCTGAGGTTGCCTTTGATGGTCACTGCAGAGTTGAGTCCCTGTTTGGCTTCCATACAGGGTGGCAGCTTGGGCACTGTCCTGCCTTAATCCCAACCGTCTAGATTTTTGGTTTGAAAATAGAGTCATTTAAAACTAAAGAAATTGAGCTGGTGAGATGGCTCAGTGGTCTAAAGCGCCTACTTAGAACACTTAGCAAAGTACAGGGACCGTGGTTCAATCCCCCAGCACC